CCAAGTCGCACGGCATCCAGCAGCCCGCGCAGCACGGAAGTACGCAGCGCCAGTCGACGGGCTCGGGCCCAGAAAGCGCTCGGTGTAAGACGCGCAGCTTGTTGGTTGTTTTCGAGGTCCCCCGGGTCCGGGATCGGCGCGATTGGCGGCGAGGACGCGTCGGACGCGGTCGCGAAAGTGAGTTGAAGGGTCGAGGGGCTGCATGCGCGCGTGCGGACGCGTCTGGTTTCTCCTGATCTATTTTGCGATCACGTCGGGCTCCCTTGCTGTCGTCCGCCGTTGGTTCGGGGCCGGGTCCGAGTCTTTTTTACCCCTTCTTGTCTCCACTTTATATTTTGGACGCTGCCCGCTTTCGTTTCGCGAGCGACTTGGGTTGGGTTGGGTTTCTCCATCGGCGAGTTGCACGCCGGCACTTGTTGAGGGGCGGCACGTTGGCCGCCGATGTCGTCTTCCTTCCTGATCTGTTCGTTTTCATGGACAAGATTGCGCGCTGTAACCGTTTCGTTTCTGCCCGTTTTTCCTCTTTTCGTTCGTTCGCTACCCTTCTTGGATGCCCAGCACGAAATATACGTGAAACGATTTCCTTTGTGCTCGTTCTGGTCGTCAGTTGCGATTTCCTTGCGTGATTGTTTTCGCCGTTCGCTCTAACTGGCAGTGTCGCGCTCAACATGTCGTGTCGTCTTCGCGTTGGTCTTGGTGCAAGGCCAGGTCCCGTCGCCGAACGACGCGGTGGAGGACTGGCACATTCAGTTTTAGTTGGATGCAACTGCTTGGTTGATGACGGCGCGAAGGATGTTCGACTTGTGCCGAGAGAGAGAACGATGCTATCCACAATCCAATGCACACGCAAGCATCCGCAGAGCGCAATCAAAATTGAAGGAATCTATACAAAACGCCCGACCCCCTACGGCAGGTCGCCATTCACAGCCGCGGCACTACTGCTCGCGCTACTACTGGCGACGGCGGGCGGCATCGGGGTCGTGCGGCCCCACACGGACCGCGCACCGCCACCCGGCGCGCCGCCAGGCCACGCAACACGGCGCGTGAGCAACGCCGACCTGGCCATCCGGCACTCTGACCGGCACGCCTCGACCGCGTCCCGTACCCCCCGCGCCATATCGCACCCAAACACGGACGTGGCCGCTGGCGGCGGATGATGTGCGCGCCACAAGCTCGTTCCCGCCGTGGGCCTCGCCTGTGCGGCACTCGTCGCATCCGCATGCGCGCGCCAGTCGCGCGTCATTTGCCGCAACGAGGTCAGCGGGTCGGTGGTTGGTGCGGGCGGTAGCGTCGCAAACGCCGAGGTCGTGTAGGGCAAATAGTCGTTTTCCGAGGACCCGGATGACGAGGATTCCTCAAGGTCATCGTGGCCTGGGATCGATGCGAGGAGGGTGCTCCCGTCGTTGCGGGCGTCGCGCACGACGGGGACGGCCGAGCGCAGGTGGTCGCGCTGCACGGCGGCGAGGTGCGCGAGGGCTGCCCACGCGCGCGCGTGGGCGGCTTGCAGGTTGTAGACGGCCGCGAGGTATCGGCGGATGGCGGGCAGAATCAGGCGCTAGCGGAGCGGCAACGACGGGGTGGTGAGCGCGCGGACAACAGGCGCGCGGCAGCGGCATGAGCGGGGTTACGGTACGTGGAAGACGAGGCCGGCGCCTCCTGAAGCTGCAAGGATCCAGAGCAGCGTGACGAGCCACGGTCGCTTGCGAATGGCGGCGGGCAGGTTGCAGAGCCATGTTGTTGCGGCCGCACGCCGCGATACTGCTGCCGCGGGGCCTCGATGTGCTGGTATTGGTGCTGATGCATTCATTGCAGCGAGTGGGAGCGTTGTTGGGCCGACCGACGAGGCGAGAGAGCGCCGCAAAGTTGGTGATGTTGCCAACGACGTTGCCCGGATCGGCAACTTGCGCGAGACGCGACCTGGCAGCTGCCAGAAACGTCGAACACCACGCCTTGTTGGCATCAGCGTGGTTTCGGGTGCAGCCGGTCGGCCCTCCCCGAAATGTTCCGAGCGGCTCGGTGCGGGGTCTCGCGCTGTCTCGCGGCCAGCAACACTGTTCGCGACCGACGAGCCGGCCGCGAGCTGACCACGCGCCGCGCAGCACACGGCTTGGTTTGGGCTCCCGGCCCGAGTGTGACCTCAAAAGGCACCGCCCGCCCGCCCGCCGTCCTTCTCTTCCGCTCCCCTTGAGTTCCAAATTCCCCTGCTGCAACCATCCGTCCGACCATGGCCGACCATACGCAAACCAACCTGATCACGCTCTCGCGCCATGTGCTCGCCGAGCAACGCGCGCACAAGGACGCGACCGGCGACCTCACGCTGCTGCTCGTCTCCATTCAGCTCGGCTGCAAATTTGTCGCCACCTGCGTGCGCAAGGCCGGCATTGTCAACCTGTACCGATCACGCACACGAAACACCTGCACCAACCAGTTCCAGCCCAGCGAAACTGACCCGCCGCGCGCGCCCGTGTATTTAGCACCGGTCTCGCCGGCGACACCAACGTGCAGGGCGAGGACCAAAAGAAGCTTGATGTCCTGGCCAACGAGATTTTTATCAACTCGCTGCGGTCGTCGGGCAAGGTCGCAATTATGGTCTCGGAAGAGGACGAGGACGTGATCATTGTCTCGGCCAAGGACCGCGACCCGGCGGGCCACGCCTACGCCGTCGTCTTTGACCCGCTCGACGGGTCGTCGAACATTGAGGCTGGCGTCTCGATTGGCACCATTTTCGGCATCTACAAAGTCGCGCCCGGGTCGACAGGCACGGCCAAGGACGTGCTGCGCGCGGGCCGCGACATGGTGTGTGCGGGTTACTGCATGTACGTCCAATTTCGCCCAATGTGGAGGAGTGTTCGACGCTACAGATTCAACTCACGACCGACTGCTTTCCACTGACTAGGTACGGCTCGAGCACGTCGCTCGTCCTCTCGACGGGCAACGGGTCCGTGAGCGGATACACGCTCGACACGACCATTGGCGAATTCATTCTGACGCACCCGAACATCCGCATTCCAGCACGCGGGAAAATCTACTCGATCAACGAAGGCAACTCGGTCTACTGGGACTCGGCCTGCACCGAGTACTTTTCCTCGCTCAAGACGCGCACGGTCGACGGCAAGCCCGCGCCCTACTCGGCGCGGTACGTTGGCTCCATGGTCGCCGACGTGCACCGCACGATTCTCTACGGCGGGATTTTCGCGTACCCAGCCGACAAAAAGTCGGCGCATGGGAAGCTGCGCGTTTTGTACGAGTGTTTCCCAATGGCGTTCCTGGTCGAGAATGCCGGCGGGCGCGCGACAACGGGCACGCAGCGCATCTTGGATATGGTCCCGATGGCGATTCACCAGCGGTCGCCGATTTTCTTGGGGTCGCGCGACGACGTGGCCGATCTCGAGGCGTGCTATGCCAAACACGCGAATGGGGCGGCCAAGGAGCAGTAAATGGCGCGTTTGCTGTGATGGTCGTGGTGGCTGCTTCATTTCCTCTTTTGCTGATTGGAAGCAAAGAATTTGCAGGGTTTTCTTTTGGGTGCAAAAACAATACAACCAACGCGGAGGGCGCGTGGAAGCGCCCTCACTCGTCGTCTCCAATGTTTTTCACATCCTGCGCCATGTGATCGAGAGTCGAACGTCGACAACGTCCGGGCGCACCTGGGGATTGAACATAAAAAGGAAAATCATAAGCACATAGTGCAACATGTCAACGCGGCGCGACGAACGACTTGTTCCAAACGACCACTGCTTGACAACTATTGGCTGTGGGAGCACAGCAAAATATCATTGTAACTTGGTGGAGAATCCGGGTACCCCCCCCACAACCTTTTTGGGATTTGGAGGGGCAATCCCGGGGTGGAAGGCATGCCTGCGAGAGCCATGCTTTCCACATGTTCTGTGCATCGAGTGGGGTTCGAACCCACGCCTCTTTCGAGAACGGTACTTGAGACCGCCACCTTAGACCACTTGGTCATCGATGCTATTCGGTTTGAAAATGTTCAAATTTTTGGTTTTATAATGGTCGTTCTCAAACTTCGGGGTTGCCAATCACCTGACGATGCCTGACCATCGCGCACTTCTCTTGCGTTTTCGAGGTGGACTCGCTGCCATGGCCCTCGACAGGAAGGCCGCATCCAACATAAGCGCGAGCCCAAACCAACTTTCAGCAGCAGCACGCACCATCATGTCCGACACCGAGGCGCAAAACGACGCTCAGGCCGCGGCCACGGCGCCGGCGACCGGCAAGAACCACAACAAGTACCGCCGCGACAAGCGTACGGCATCCATCAACAAACTATAATCGCGGCCGCTGTCCCGGGTGCCGTCGTGCGCGTCGATGCCGCGCACTGGATGAGTGCCGCTGCGGCACTCTTTGCCGGCTGCGCGAGACTGCACCGACCCTGATTCAGCGCGCGTGCATTGCCTGCCGCCTCCAAGGCGCACCCCCCGGACCCAACGTCGGCTCACTCGTCTCTTCTCTGCCTGTGTAGCATGGGACACGGACGACATTGACCACTGGAAGATTGACGCCTTTACGCGCGACGACAACCCGCACCCGTTCACCGAAGAATCCTCGTTCGCAACGCTCTTCCCCAAATACCGCGATGCCTACCTGCGCGAAGTCTGGCCGCACGTGACGCGCGCGCTGGCGGCGCACGGCCTCGCGTGCGAGCTCGACCTGATTGAGGGTTCCATGACCGTGCGCACGACGCGCAAGGCGTTTGACCCGTACGCGATCCTGAACGCGCGCGACCTGATCAAGCTGCTCTCGCGTTCCGTGCCGTTCCAGCAGGCCGTCAAGATCCTCGACGACAATGTTGCCTGCGACATTATCAAGATTGGCAATATCGTGCGCAACAAGGAGCGGTTCGTGAAGCGCCGCCAGCGGCTCGTCGGGCCGAACGGGAACACGCTCAAAGCGATCGAACTCTTGACCGAGTGCTACATTCTCGTGCAGGGGAACACGGTGTCCGTGATGGGGTCGCACAAGGGGCTCAAGACGGTGCGCCGTATCGTGCTCGACTGCTTGGCGAACATCCACCCGATCTACCATATCAAGGAACTCATGATCCGCCGCGAATTGGCCAAGGACCCGCAACTCGCAAAGGAAAACTGGGACCGGTTCCTGCCGAAATTCCGGAAACGCAACGTGCCCTCCAACAAGAAACCGCTCAAGAAGGTCGGCCCGAAACCCGAGGCGAAACCGCTGTTCCCGCCGGCGCAGACGCCGCGGCAAGTCGATTTGCAGCTCGAGTCGGGCGAGTACTTCCTCAAGCCCAAGGAGAAGGCGGCGCGCGCGGCAGCGCAGAAGGCCGCCGACGAGGCCGAGAAGCGCAAGGAGCGGCTGGCCGAACGGGCCGCGCCGTTTGTCGCACCCGAGGAGGCGACGGGCGAGGAAGCGCGCAAGGCGCTCAAGCGGAAGCGCGACGACGAGGCGCGTGCCGCCAAGGCTGACGAGGCCAACCGGCTCGACCAGCTCAAGCAAAAGTTTTTGGCCAACAAGACGGACCTCAAGGCGCAGGCGAACGCGCCGGCACCAGCAGCAGCAGGATCATCGGCGTCGTCGTCGGCGTCGGCATCCGCAGGAGCCGACAAGAAGAAGGACCCGACGAGCAAACCCGCCAAGAAGAAGGCGAAGAAGAACTAAGGTCCGGTAGGTTTGGATTGCGTGTGGTTTCGATTTTTGTGTGCTTTGACTTCCTTGTTTTTGGGAAACGGCGAGATGCGGTCCTCTCGTGGGCTGTCTCGCTTCTGTGAATACATTTCCGTTCCACGGCACCGCTCCTTTGCAACAATGCTCAGCAGAAACGGACGG